CGGTGCTTGATTCACCTTTCACACTGGCGTAACTCCATTCAAGGAAGTTATTTATTATTTTCCACCCTATAAGGGAGAGGACAATCAAGCCTTCAGTTTACGACAGATACTGTAGCAACCTGAATGGAACATGGAGCGAGGAGCACAGGTTGCAGGAGGGAAGAGTTTGGAGGAGGCACCAGGAACAGAAGTTAGTCTGTGTGCAAAGGGCTGGAATGCTAGCGGCAATTGCAGCGCTTCTGTAATAGTTCCCTGAATAAAGTGCCACTTTAGTTTTACAAGCATGGAGTCCTCTCTTGTTATTACCCACCATGCAGTACACAAAACAGATAAAACAAATGGCAGATCATAGATGAAAGATCACGTATGAGGGTGCTCTGGAAAGGGCTGAGATACAGTATAAGCATGGTGAGACAATCCACAGAAGGCAGAGTAAATAGACCAGGAGACTGTTGGAAGGCTAGTAATGCAAGGTCACCCCCATCCAGCCTCTCTTAGTCACATGAACTCTCTTATTTCTTTAGAAGTGCTGTGGGCATTTATTTCATTAGAACCGGAATCACCAGTAATGGAAGCGGATTATCTATAGCAGCATTCCTACTTATGGGCAAATGGAAAACCCCATGTCCAGATGAGTACCCCAGTTTTTCTGAATCCCCCAGTCCCTTTCTTAATTCAAAGGAGTCCTTACCTTGTAAATACAGGACTTTGCATTCAAGAAAAACAACTCGATGGTGGCATTATCCTTTAAATAAGAAATGCTCTCAATGTAGAACCTGAAAAGGAAAGGGACAGAGAGATGAGCCACACAGAAAACTTACCATTAGACTTTGATTACATAAAAAATGTGATCAATAAAGACATGAGGACTAAGGAAGTTCCTTTGTTTATAATGAGGATTCTGTGGTTTGGTGAGAGATTTGTGTGTCCTTTAAGACCTGATCATTCAGCAAAACTGTATGTATAAATCCTGACTGTGCTGAAAGGAAAAGGATTGTCAAGTGCATTATTTTATTTCTGTGTTGGATTTATATCTATCTATATTTATATCTATCTAAACTTTCTCTGCAGTCTTGGTTGGTTCATCTTTTTTACTCCCTGCCCTAAGACACTGGGAAGCATAGCTGGGCTCTGTTAAGAAACGGCTGTATTCTAACCCAGAAGCGGTTGCAGTTTAGTAATGGGAGAAATGATTCCTGAATATACAGAGAAAACTTGTTTAGCCAAATCCTTACCGCTAAACCCTCCTCCCCCAAAACACACTCAAACAGATTTTATTTGTAGAAACCTGCAAATCCACAGGTATTCGCTTTATATCCATGGACCATGTTTGCGGATCGCAGATTGGATACGGATACAAATTTTGTATCCGCGCAGGGCTCTATTTACTTGCCATAAATGGAATTCTTCTCTCTATTGTTTTGGGGCCCGAATTTTTACTACTGAAGTCCACAGAAGCTTTTCCGTTGGGTTTCAATGGGCACAGGATCCGGCCCTTAATAAGTTGTGTGAAATAAATGCAAGATGCAATTAAAACCCAAAGCTATTTTTGTATAACTATACTTGTACCATAAGTGCTTCTAACATTACTATAGGGAGAGAAAAAAATATATATACTCTGGATTCAAATAGTGATTAAAGCACATTCTGTATGTATTCTGTATTTTCACTGACAGGGAAAAAAACCAAATCATACTTCTGTCCACTCTGATTCATGCTGATTTTTAAGTTGCAGTACAATGGCAGAAACAGCGCCCATCTAAACTACAGTACAAACTGCACCAGAGGCAATTACAAGTGGGAAAGTGCCAGGGAAGTACTGTCTGTATAATCAGG